ACGACGCTTAAGAGCTGATGAAAATGCTCACTGCAATCGACCTATCACAAGCAGCAATCGCCACGATGCGGAGGTGAACATGCACATGATCCATGTTCTCAAATCCAATGCTGAATGAGGTATTCAAAGACCAAATCAAATCTTGAGATTAACGAGTCTGGGCCCGGCACTGGCCTCTTGAATCTATACCGTGTAGCTGTCTGCCTCTTCGTCTTCTTTCAGAGGGTGAGCTGGTTCCACCCCTCTCTATTGATGCAAATATATCCGCTTTGACCAGGCATTTCCGACCTTTTCCCAATGCTATGATTATCCGAAACATTTTCCGACCGTATTAAAAACACAAAATCCGGCGGTTCAACATGTGTTGATTGCTCTTGGCGCAGACCTCGGTGGTATGGCTCATGGCTCAGTTTCACCGTCAGTGCCATCTTCCTCGCCAACCCAATCGTCACTCTCGAGGCCGCGGTTGCGGATGGCGAGGGAGCCAATCCATCCCAAGAGGGCAATACCGCCGAATATGCCCCAGACTAGGGCCTCACCCTTGGGATGGACACGCGTGGAGAGCGTGAAAAGGGAGCCGGAGACGAATGGCCCAAAGCTGCGGCCCGCGGCGGACAGCGTCTGGGCGATGCCGTTCAAGGTTCCCAAAGTAGCATGATTCGGTGCACAGTTTGTGATCTACAGCCAGCATTAGCAAAAATTCATGATTTCAATCATCCAAAGATGGCTTACCAAGAGCATGACGCTAGACAGGCCGCCCACGGCGCAGATATTCTTAATGATTAAGATAACGCCGAGTTCCGCGTACAGCCAGGCAGAGCCGCTGCCGATACCGAACAGCGGCTCGTCGTCCAAGTACGGAATCCAGGGCATCAGGGCCATGCTAACGGCCAGTCCCAGCAAGGCAATGCGATAGGTTCCCAGGTTTCCCAGCCGCGTCTTCAAGTGCTGGAAGAGGAAAGCCTGAAACGCTATAGTAGCCACGCCGGCCAGACTGAGACTGATACCGATCTTGCTTGGCGGAAGACCGCGCCCAGTTGGAGGATTGGCATCGGCGAAAATCGGGTACAAGCTGTTGTAGGAGATGTTGGACAGCTGGAATACTAGGTACGTCAATAGCACAAGCACCGTATTGCGGTTCAAAAGTTGACGCCATGTCGCCAGATCGCCCGGGAGTTTCGCGTCATCGTCGGCCTGGGCATCGTTCTCAGATGCATGGTGCAGCAACCCTTGATCCTCTCCCGCCTCATCCTCGTCATCTTCTTCTTCTTCTTCGTCGTCGTCGTCAGTGCTGACCACGGCTTGTGATCCGCGGCGAGGCCAGCGGGTGGCCCACGAGCCTCTGCGCGGTTGCGCTTCTCGCGAAATCCAGGACCAAGCTTTGCGCGCCCAGGCAGGAATCCATGCTGCGTGGTCTGGCTCCAAGGTTTCCAGTGTCTCCTCGAACCAGATTGCGACGACAATCACGCTGATGAACAGTAACCCTGCGCTCAGCAAGTTGGGCGCCAAATATGGGTATCGTTTTCCCATGGTACCAACCAGCAACCCGCCCAGGGCTGGACCCGTAATGCCGCCTAGGGAGTAGATGACGGGAAGCCATGTAAAGGCCCGGCTTTGATTAGAGCGGTCCGTCACTTCGCCTAGGACGGTGGGAACCACGGCAGCGTTGCCATTGAGCATACCCATGGCCACATGAACGACTACGATCTGCCAGTAGGTCCTGCAGAAACCGAAACCCACAAAACAGCATGCCAACATGAAGGTGCCAAGAACCATGGTCGGTTTTCTACCCACGACGTCTGATAGGTAGCCCCATAGTAGGTTCGTGGATAATTGAGCGAGGGCGAATGCTGAGGCAAGGATACCGACATACAGACCTGTCTGAGAGTCGGGGATATCGGCGAAGGACTCGACCATCTGAGGCAGGTAAGGGCCGATGGAGTTTAATGCAGTCTGCTCGCTCAAGGAGAGGAAGGCAAGCAAAGCAAGCTGTTTGACAGGCAGAGGAGTCTGCTGGTGATCGTCGTCTGAGGCATCGGAATCTTCATCGGAATGTGGGAAAAGCTCTGCCGAGGATTGCTCGCGGGGGGTCTTGGGAGGTGGTGTCGGAAAGGTGTGATATCTATGAGTAGACTGGCGTCGCATCGTGGTCCTCCGGCTGGACTCGATGTTTCCAAGAGTCGGTATGGGAGCGCCTGCGTGGAATGAACCGGACGAGGCTGTCCGGGACACAGCAGCTGCGCGAGCAATGTTATTGCTGTTGGTGGTGCGAGGCATGTTGGCAGCTGGGGCAATCGAGGCGGCGCAGGGCCTGATGCCAGAGGGCGAACAGATGCAGCTACACAGGTTCTTGCAGCACAAGCGGTGACGTCGTCGAGATGGTCGTCGAGATCGGTCACGGTTCACGGGGGTTATCGGTTTATGATGGTCGGAGATGGGTTCGGTGGTGAGCTGCTTGTTCGGGTGTAGCTGCTGGGACGAGGCTACCCCGCTGCCAGGGTCTCACGGAGATGGAATGCAGAATCGCAACCTCCAGCACATGGTCTCGAGTTGCCTATAAATGCGAAGCGGCGACGTGGTTTGGGAGGAGAACAGGACAATTGACGACTCGGGCACACTGGGGAGGGTGGAGATGTGCGTCTCTCAATGTCCTGAGCTGGGAGGTGAGAAGGTGGAGGGGGAGTTCGAAGGTCGCAAGATGGGCGAGGGGAAGAGAGGCGCGGATAATGTTGCGACGCAATGAAGTAAGGCAATTAATTAAGCGGGTGGTTGAAGAACATGGAAGGTGCTGCAGGTCGGCGGAAGGATATCGGCGGGTAGCTCTCGGCCTGGGCCTGATGCGACGTAAGAGCTGCCCAGAAGAGCAAGCGAAGACGGGGAGAGGTGACGGGTGAAGGTCCAATTGGAAAGAAGCACGGACATGGGTGACCTCATTTTTCAGTACTTTTCTTTTCGGTTTTTTTTTTCCTTCTTTCCCTTTCCTTCCCTCCCTTCGATCCTTCCCTCTGATTTTCCTGGGTACGTAGTCTCTTCGCTTGGGGGCCTGGGGTGATCCGTGCCCGGTGCTCGCGGCTGCCTGTGGCTCGTGCTCAAGACAAAACGAAGGTGGCAGGCGGGAAGTTAAGCTTTCCACACTGACAGACACCAATCTCACTAACAGCCATTCAACGCACCAGGAGATCGGGGCAGGCATGAGGCTCGCACTGCACTTGCTTCTCGCATCACGCGCAGGAGATGACGCCCCCCCTCCAATTCACCACTTTGTCATTGGCTGATGCCATCTGATCTCGGATCTCTCATCTGGCCTTGATCGTCCCAGATCTTCCCTCCCACCCAGTAGACAAAATGTAAACGGCCACTAGAACCCTAACGTTTGACCTCTGCTCTTTTGCCATTTGCTATCGCAGTCTACACCACTACACGTGTATTCCTCGGCATCTCCAACCGTTCGTCTCTTCGACTGCATCCAATCATTTGACTCAACACACCGTCGGGAATCCGCACCAACATAGTACTCAGCTTTTCCAAGTAGCGGCAGTGTTTACGAGAGACTGCCTTGTGATCAACACATGTTGGCACCAGGCCAAATCTCTCCGAGACCGCATCTAACGTGGCAGCGAGACATCTGACACTGGATCAGAAATCCTCCGAAGCTAGCCTCACGCAGGGTCCTGTCGTGTGCTTCTCTAAACTGGCAAAGAGATGGTCCACGATTCTGTGCTAGGAACCCCAAAAGAAGAAGAACTACGTCAAGGGCTTCGAATCATGTGCGGATGCTGGTAGCTGGTGGGCGATGCTAGCGAATCTTTCATTGATCTCGTGTCGAAACTATGATTAAGACTGAGACCAAGTCTTGCAAGATGTCTTTTTGAACGTCTTATGAATGCTCAACAATACAGAGAGAGAGGCGACTGCAAATAGGGCGACCCTGTGAATCGACAAGATGTCAACCATTTTATGATCGCTAGCGTAAACGGATCACGGATGTCCATGCCATGATATATTTAGACAGACGCGACTCAATATCTCGGTAACATTCACCGACAAACAGCTCCCAATACCGAGCTCGTGCGAAACCTTCGTCTTGATCCTTGTCTGTCTTGCCTTTTCTCTCATGTCATTGGAAGATTCTTCGTTCAGACACATTGTGGAGAGTTACATGGCAGATTGACACCCGGAGTGCCCCGCAGCCCCGGATTCGGGTACTATGAAAACCGCACGTCCGGCTGCAACCAAAGGCGTACATGTCTCGGGCCGCATTGAACCGGGCCTCGGGGGTGTGGCATGTATACAAAATTCCCAGGAGCGCGGTATACCCTCGGCCCCCACGGATCGCACATCATTATCACGACTGGAAACAGCTTGAAGTCGATTTCCACCGACCTGCCGAGCAGATTCAAGCCTGCGACACACAGTGCCTTCGGAGTTAGTATCGTGCTACAGAATCCTGAGCATTTTCTGCCCGGAACTCAAAGCGATATCGGTCACCAAGCGATGCTCTTCCAGCTGAGTCAAGGTGACCATTATGTGTCCAGTCAGGTTCTTATGTCCGTAATGCAGTAGAGAGCGCCGAGGGATACATCAAGAGACCTTCTTTAGCTTTTAAGCGATGATCAAGCTGTCTTCGCTTCTGCTCATGTCCCTGTATCCCGTATCCGTCTTCCGCAAGGTACTGACAAGGCACCCCCGAGTGCATGGGAAGTCAACCCCAACGCCAAGGCTCGCGACAAAAGATATCTTGATGTCTCGGTCAAAACTGAACTGAATCCTCCATCCCCTGAGAGATCCGCACGCGTCCTAAAGACGAAGCTTACAGGGGAGTTTCAGTCAGGTGCCTGAACTCATTGCGACATCGGCCAGCGTGTAAAACCGAATCCTCGATTCTCGAAAGCTTGGGTCACACGCCATTGTACTTCATAGGAAAGTAGCACCGTGAGACCATAGTTTGTTTGTTCATTCAGTTTCATATTTTTTTTTCATATAGCATTATATCATGAGCTTCATACGAAGACGCGCAAGAACTCGACCAGTGCCATCATAGCCATAGCCTGGCCGTAGGGCATGCTCGTCCGCGGAATATCCTTGTAATGCTGCAAATCGTGACCCATACCCGTGCCAAACGACGTGTTGAGCAGCTCGCCCTCCGGGCTAATATTTTCCAGAATGGCATTAATCGCCTTGACGGCGACGGCCTCGTACTCCTTTCCAATGTACTTTTTCCGCTGCGCCTTGAGGATGCCGTAGGCGAAACCGGCCGTGGCGCTCGCCTCGACGTAGGAGCCCTCGGACTCGGGCACGTCGAGCAGCGTTCTCCACAGGCCGTTTTCGACCTGCAGCGGCACGAGGGCGGCACATTGAGCTTCGAGGGTGTTGATGAGGTGGGAGCGGAGGGCGTCGTCGCCCGTGAGGTTGAGCAGCTCGATGAACTCGGGGATGACGATGGTGAGCCAGCTGTTGCCGCGGGCCCAGCGGGCGCGGGCAAAGTTGTGGCCGCCCTCGTGGAAGGTCCAGCCGTGGAAGAAGAGGCCGGTAGGCGCGTCAAAGAGATACTGCAGGTGGAGGAGGAACTGGCGCTTGGCCTCCTCGACGTAGTGGGGGCGGTTGAGGACGAGACCGATCTTTGCGAGGGGCAGGACGGTCATCATGAGGGTGTCGTCCCAGAGCTGCTGGTCGTTGACCTCGAGGTAGGTGATGTGCTGCATGCCGCCGTACTTTGTGCGGGGGAGGTCATGGTAGGCCCACTCGGCCCAGCTGTCGAGCCAGGGGAGGTAGGTCTCGTTTCCGGTCTTTTCGTAGACGTAGGCGAGGGTGAGGAAGACGGCCATGGTGTTGATGTTTTTGCCCTTGTGACCCTCCTCGAAGCGGTCGCGGAACCAGTCCTCGATGATTTTGAGATCGGCCGGGTCGCCGTTGAGCTCGTAGTACTTCCAGATGCCATACAGGCCGATGCCGTGGGTCCATTCCCAGTCGCCCCAGCCCTTTGTGTCGATGACGCGGCCGTTCTCGAGCGTCATGAGGAACTCGCCCGTGGTGTCCTTAATGTTGACCATGTCGTGGATCAGCTGCTTGACCTGTTTGTGAATGTCGGCCCGCTTGACGCCATGGAGCTCTGTGATTCCCGCAGGCATTTTGGCGGTATTCTTTCTGTGTTTTTTTTTTGTGAGGATTGGTTGTTAGACCCTTTAGGTCTCTGTGTTTGTAATTAGCCTTGGGAGATCAAGCTTTGGCTGGCAATGTGAGGTCACGGCCATCTCACTCCCCATGATATCGAATTCGTGTCGATTGGTGACGCAAAATGATTACTCTACAGGTGGTGTAAAATGAGACTAACCTTCTTGTTCAAATGTCGTGCGGCACAGATAACATGTGACTTTGCGACGGTATGATTGGGGGGTATCTAGGTATGTACAAGCACGGCGCGGCACCAAAAGACGCGAAGACACGTGAGACAGAAGTTTATCGACAATATGTCAGATCCTCGGGGGAAAAGGGTACGCTCAGAGGCACGAAGTTTGGGTGCGGAATCCTTTATGAAGGGGAGGGCTCCGGCGAAATATGCTTGGTGGGAAAAACGAGGGGTCGTGGGCGGGAGGATGGAGGGGAACGCATGCTCGGAGTGATGGTGGCCGAGGACCAAGGCCCCAAGATGTCCTTCCAAGACGCGCTTTCCAGTAGGCGGTTTGGTTCAAGAACGATGGATTATGGGAGGAGAGCTGGGGATCCCCACACTCTGGATGGACGGCCAAAGGTGTTTTGGCTGGGATTGTGCGTTTGCGGCTGCGAAATCGCAGAAGGAAACGGTTACACCCTTGAGTCTGCTAAGGCAGAATTAGATAATGCAAGGTGTGAATAAGTGAGGAAAGACCGTTTCTCTCAGGTACGCTCCTGGGCCTGGACGACGAGTGCGGAAACGACGTCGATGGTTGGTCGGATGGGCCCGACGTTGACCCGCTTCAGATGGCACGCCACCGGGGTGCTCCGCTCGCTGCTCGGGCCCTCCTCCCCCGCGCCCCGGGCTTCTTACCCCGCGCCGGTGGAGAAAGCTTTCCCCGATTTTTCTGTTCATTCCCGTTCTTTTTCCTGGCTCCCCCGTGGTTCCCGTGGGCCTCCTATTCTTACCAGTTGCTCTCTGCTCGGTCTCTGACTGGTCTGTAATTACTTAGGCAAACGGCCATTGGTGTTTTCCAAGGCTGCTATCTGGATTATCCCTGTTCCTGTCCCCAAATTCCTGCGCCTCTTACGAGGTTTCGAGCCTTGAACGCCGAACCCGCCGCTGGCGCCCCCCGGCTTTTTTGTGTTTAGCCGTCCGGGGTCTATGTTTTGGGGAAGTCATCTCCGCACACTCTCCGCAATCCCTTCTACACTGGATCTTTGGGGGAAATTCTGGGCGAGCAAAAGCTGGAGAGGGCGGGCGACGGGGAACCGGGAACTGTCCAGAGCCTAAGGTACGGTACGGAGTAGGAGAGGAGATTTGAGGGGCCTTTTCTGCCCTAGGCAACCAGGCTTAAAACTCATTTTGCGGAACCCTGGACGGTAGAATAAGGTTATCCCATGCCCTCCCCCAGGCACCGTAGTGACAGTACAATACGGAGTGAGATTGAGCGAGATGAACGAGATTACAGAGATGGGCGAGATTTTCTGGAGTCATCTTGAGGAATTGAAGGAACGGGAACGTCTACTCATATAGGAACGGCTTCCAGGGGACGGCTGCTCTCATTCCTGATTACTATGACATTCTGATTGCGGAACTCAATTTCCTTTCGTAGCCCCTGTGCATGCAAGCATCCTCACCGCAGGACATTAGATGCAATGCAACCGCTGCAACACGACATACTGCGTATGTGCCCGAACACACTTCCACACATATTCCCGGCCTCCTGCTGAACTTGCCCCCATGTCCAAGTCTCCATACTGTTGCGTTACGCTTTGCCCAATTCACCGCGATACCATTGTTTACCACGTCTTCACACGAGCTTAGCCAAAGCCTACAGCGTAAAATTGACGGAGCAATAATTTGTAAAGTCATTCAAGAGACGGAAAAGACCAGTTGAGCCCGAGCGTCGAGATCAAAGACTCCATCAAGCTTTTCCTTTGGTGGTGAGCCAAGCCCGGGTCTGGTCGAGTCGGTAGGATTCGCGCCGACGATATGGCTGCTTCGAGGAAAGACGGCCGTTTTCCTTACATCAACCAATCCCATCCCTGCATGCCCGCCGCCAGCCCGAAGCAGTTTTCGTGTCGTTAACATTTCCGCCCACCACCACGCTGGCTCACACACCATACACCCCTTCAGCCGAGGGACCTCGTGGTCTGAGCCTCTTGTTCTTCGCCAGTCGCTGCTGAACCATTTCGTCTGCCCAGAAATGCGGCGATAAAAGCCCAAGAAACCAAGGAATGAGGCGGCCGGGAGAGCGCCCAAGTGCCATGCCAAGTCGCTCACTGCCGTCGCAGCCGCCATCCATTCTTGCTCATTGATAACCTCTCCTCCAAAACCACAATAATAGAGCCTCATCTCGCTCATGGGATCGTGTTTTCTCAACCGCTTAAACGCTTGATTACCAATACCGATTAGCTGACCTTTCGCCGCCTCGAGAAACTACAGACTCGTGTGAGACATTCCAACAAGATACTACTGACTAGAACTAGTCTCGCGCCTTAAACCCCGTTGCAGAAAACCACCAATCACTTCACTCAGTTCAGAGAACCACAGTATAGGCGCACGCCATCGCGCCGGGTCGACCTCGTCAGCCGTGCCAACCATGATAGTTCAGCCAGATAACTTCCCCGTTGGAACTATGCATCCACACCCTTATTCCCACCTATCTTGCTGTCGGTTTCCTTCCGGTTGACCATCCATCAGAACCAGCACGCACATGTTCATGTTGTTGCCCCCATGGATCCCCCAGTCGACGCAACGTTGTCCCCCAATCCCTAATCCTGACTCGTGCTGCTCTAGCCATGAACCTGCCCACTTTCTTATCCTTCTTATCCAATCTTTGTTACCCAAATTACGGTCTCATACTCCATCTTCTCCCCAGATATTGGGGCATACACCGCAGGAACGCGGAGTTCAGAAGGGGGGAAGAGAGCGAGCGTATCGGGGAGGTGTGGTAAACCAGGCCTTGCCAACATCGCACCTTGCCCTTCCCGCCACTTCGGTCGAATGATGTCCCAAATTGCACCCACTCCTCCTGGACTCCTGGTCATTCCTCGCCTGTCAATCGTCTGGTCCAAGCTGTGATCCGGCTCGCCGAACCACACAGGACCCGGCAAGCCGTCTCCATACCCACCCCAGGGTACCTGGAGCCCAGGGCCCGTGGGGGTTTGGTTCTGGCTTTGGTCTCGTCGTCTCTTTTCGCGGGGAACCGAGATGTGGACCGGGGAAATGGAGAAGTCCTGCCTGCTTCCCAACAAGAAATCTTGGGGTAAAAGTGAGGAGAGAATGAGGGTGAGATTCCGGGGTTTGGCAGCCCAGATTGATACCACGTCCGGAAGGGGAAAAGGAAGGAATCTGAAGCATTGCCTACGGTACACGGCTCGCTTTTCCCTAACACCTTACCACCCACCCATTACCATCCCTTCGGGGTACTCCACCTGAGATCTGCTCTTATATAGAACGAGGTAGCATCCTCTTTTTCCCATCTCTTGCTCTTCTCCTCCTGTAGGTTGCTCAGCTTCTTCCCTTCCTTTGCAGAGGTTAGACAAGACTCCGGATCCCAAAGCCCCCATCAAGTCAATATCTGAGACCTTTGCTGCGTCTCACTTACCTCGGGCCCTCACTACCACACTATCAGGAACGTTCTCTCGCTCAGTCTAATCTGGACAAGATGGCCTCTACCGAAGTCGCCGACCCGGAGCTCGTCCGCCCCATGAGCGGAGGCGGCCCGGGCAAGAAGTCCTTCCACGAAGTCGAGCGCACAATCTCCAACGAGAAGGCCGACCACCAGCGCCTCGAGAACGTCGACAATGAGCTGTCAAAGTATGTCGGCGACGGCTCCATCACCGTCTCCAGGGAACGCAGCGATCAGCTGCGCAAGATGATTGATAAGCGCGTCCTGGTCATCATGATCGGCACCTACTTCCTCCAGGCCATCGACAAGGGCACAATGTCCTTCGCCTCCATCATGGGCCTCCAGGAGGACACCCACCTCAAGGGCCAAGAGTTCTCCTGGCTCACCACCTGTATCTACATTGCCATCCTCTTCGTCGAGTACCCCCAGAACTACATCATCGCCCGCGTCCCCATCGCAAAGTACCTCAGCTTCTCCATCATCGCCTGGGGCGCCGTCCTCGCCTGCCACGCCGCCTGTACTGACTTCAAGGGCCTCGTCATCGTCCGCACCCTCCTTGGTATCTTTGAGTCCGCCTGCCAGCCCGCCTTTGTCATCCTCTCCTCCATGTGGTACCGCCGCGAGGAGCAGGCGTCCCGTGTTACGTACTGGTACATGATGAACGGTGCCCAGCAGGTTGTCGGCGGTCTCCTTGCCTACTGCTTCACCCACATCAAGACCGGTCCTCTCAAGTCCTGGCAATGGCTGTTCCTGGCCTACGGGATTGTGTCCGTCATCTTTGGTGTCTTCGTCTTCCTCTGGATGCCCGACTCGCCCATGCGCGCCAAGTGCTACTCCGAGGAAGTCAAGCGGGAGATGGTCGAGCGTGTCCGCGACAACCAGACTGGTATCCAGAACAAGACCTTCAAGCGCGAGCAGGCCATCGAGGCCCTCAAGGATCCCCAGGTCTGGGGTTACTCTCTTATCGCCCTGTGCACCACTCTGCCCACTTCCGGTCTCGGTGCCTTTGCCAACATCATCATCAAGAGCTTCGGCTTCAACACGCTCGAGGTCCAGCTCTTGGCCATGGTTCTTGGTTTCTACATCATCTTTGTCCTTCTCGGCTCCGTCTGGCTCGTCAAGAAGTTTAACCAGAACCTCTACGTCATGCTTGGCTTCTGTGTCCCGTAAGTCAAAACCCTTCTCAGGGTATCACCGTCAACTAGTCACTAACAGACCTCGCTAGTTCCGTCATCGGCACTGTCCTCCTCATGACCGTCCCCAACAACACCTTCTCCCAGCGCGTCGGCCTCCTCATCTGCTACTACATCACCCTCTCTTTCTGGTCAGCCCAGACCCTC